TGATATTTAATTTAAAAACTAATGCTCGGTGATTTAAAAAAATATGTCTTGATTTTTCCTTCCAATATTAAGTAATATCTGAGTAAAATCCCTTACAAAGCCGTCTGCAGTATCTGAGCTTTTTCTGTCCCAAATAGACCTTCCTTTTAACAGCTACTTGATAAAAATAAGCTCAGTAGTTAATTAATACAATATACACCTATAATAAAAATATAAAATAAGGGGTCATAGAAAAGGTTTCTTTTTACCTTAAACTGGTCGGTGTTAGCCACTTATACTCTCAACCAAAAACATTGAATTAGAATATGCTATCATGTACGGTATTTTCTGTTATGCTTATTTGAGGGTAGAGATTAGAAATAGTTTCTAATTTTAAGGAGTCAAAAGATTTAATAGCGGGATGAATTATATTTTAAAATTCCCATTAATTTACTTTCAGATGAAGAGAACCCACAGCTTTTTGAAACTGACTATTACGGGAGGTGGGGGGTGGAAGAAGGCCTTGATTTGTCATTTTAACCAAATATGAAAGCCTACATTTTGTAAGCATAAAGATCACATTCTCTTCAAAAGATTTGAAAATTCTCATCGGTACATAACTCAGAGAATAAGAAGATTGTAATTTGAAAAATTACAGATTTCATTGTTTTTTGCTTTTTTTTTTTTTTTTTTGATGTGTGAAACCTACAAACAAGTATCAGGAGATTGTATTGCAAGACTGAAAATCCCTTGTTTAGTTTTGTAAGGGACAGTGCCCTATGTGGCTTGCAACCCTGACTTAGAAGAAAAATGCATAGTAATGTAAAAGTCGCTCTAATCACTGCATCTAATTACAAAGAAGAATAACTCACTGAAAAATTTAAGTATCCTTGGGCAGGCATGTGGTCTGGTGGTCAGAGCATGAGATTGCAAGTCAGTAGTCTAAATTTCTTTTTAAACATCACTTCTAAATTTCCCCATGACTTTGGGCATGACACTAACTTTATTTTTAAGCAAGAACTTAAGATTTGTGCTTGATAAAGACAAAGCATTTTTGAAGTCTTCATATAAAGGTTTAAATCTAGCCCACCCTCTGCTATTAAGAAAATTCTGACTTATAGTGATGCTTTATAGGGTTCTGCGGCTATAAATCTTTATGGGAGTAGATAGTCTTATCTTTTCTCCTGTAGATTGGCTGGTGAGTTTGAACACTTGACCTTGAGATTAGCAGACCTATGCTTACCGGATAGCTCCAGCAGGGCATAAATCTAATACTGTGGGTGGGGGGGAGGTGGGGCGGGAAAAGAGGGCTGTTCTTGACTTCTCGATGGGAACAAACTTACTTGTTGAGTAAATATAAGTGAATTCAGAAATAATATACCATTTGCCAGCACTTCATAATTGTTAAACACAATGCTGACCCATCAGGAGTATACTTGTATTTGTGCTCACATTAATTTATGCATTTTTGAAGCCTAAAAGCAACATAGGTCTTTATAGGAGCTTTATTCTTTTTCAGATTGTGTTCTTAGTTTAAGGAGGAGGTTCTAAAAAGGGCACACATGCAAGATAAGCCAAGGCAAATCTTTATTTCAGCCATCCCGTTTTCTCTTTGCTATGTGAGCCTTTGTACTGAGCTCTTCCATCAGCATCCCCAGGCAGGCACGTGGCATGCAATACCTCTGAATCCTCTGCTCATATTTTAGTAAGGCCAAAGTTTCAAAAATGACACATCACAGCAGTGAAGAACTTTCAAATGGACTCTGGGCACTTGTTCTGATCACCTGAGGGACTCTGGAATGGATGGATGGTGCTGCACCCATCCAGGGCTCCCTTTGCAACAGCAAACACCTACACTGCCTCCTGGACCACGTGCCATAGAACGAGAGGTTTTATTTTCCGGGAAAACACTGAGTAGCTTTTTCTCTGTTCCAAAATAGGCAGGATCAGTGTGGGAACCTATGCGTTAGGCCATCATGCAGGCCAAAAGGAGAACCGTGACAGTGTCTGATAATGACCATGGCTCTAAAGAAGAAAGCCCACCCCACCCCCACCCCCTGACTGGCCGCAAAAAAAAAAAATACAATCTTACCAAGCCTGGGAGAATTATATAAATAATTCAGGCATAACTATTCAACTTAGAGCTCCATGAAGTCACCAGTTTACTTTTTGATAAGGGTTTCTTGGACCTCATTCTTTCTCAAACCAGCTTATTCCAGCGCCGAATGGGAAAACGGCACAGAAACTCTGCTGAAACTTCACCACGGACGAAAGGTACCAGCAAGGACAGAAAAAAATGTCTGTTGACTCCATACCATTGGAACAAATTGAAAAAGCAGAATGGGAAGATTATTGATAAACTAATCCTTTGCCTGAAGCACAGCATTTCCTAAAACTATGACTAGAATGAGGTTTGGAAGAATCCTGAGCATTCTTTCATCTTAGTGAGCATTCACCAGCTCCGTCTCACAAGACCAAGGGCACCAATCAGACTTCTTCTGGAGCACTTCCTTCCAAAATGTCAATCCAAAAGAACAGTTCTTACTCCAGGAAGCAGGGGTCCCATGGAGGGGACATATCAAACAGTAAAATCCGGCAAAGAACAAAATACAGGATTTTAGTGAGGATGCTTTGTCAACGTGAGGCCGACTAAATGTGCATCTTCCAGATCTATTCGGGTGAAGGCAAAAAAACGACACGACACTCGCTTACCCACCTGAAGGTCTTTTCTTGGGTCTTCACATCATGTTTGCCAAGATGATCGCTACATCAGCGTGTCTACTGCTGAGAGTATTGAAAAGCAAACGCCGGTCTATGGTACTGTGAAGGAGAACCGTGGCTTGCCAAACGGACTGAAAGAAAAAGCAAACAGGAGAAATGGTGATTTTTGAGGAAAGGATTCTTGCTTTTGTTATATGGATGTCTCTAGAAACCCCACGGAGGACAGAATAAAACCCACCTACGTAGTCGCTTGGAACAGGTATAGTAAAGGAGTCCACTGAGCAGATAGTATTTGACGAGCTGCGGTTATCTTCCGCAAAAGTATAAAATGGTTTTTTTAAAGTGGCCTTCTCTTTTTGATCCATCGTGCCCAGTCCAGTGCAGTTAAAATCGATTGCAACTGTAATTTACCAAAAGAAGTGAAATACAAACATTCCCTCCTAGAAATAGCTAATGAATGGGCAACCGAAAATGGAACGGGATGCAGCCGGCAACCTGCCCAGTTCTCTCAGTATCTCTAGAGGCGCTCTGCAGACAGATTGGCTTTGGAGGCGCTCGCGAAAGCGAAAAGACCACATTTGGGGGGGCGGTGGGGGGGGGCGAGGATTAGTAACTAGTGAGGAAAAACACCCCACTGGGGTATATAGAGCACCCTCTTCCAAAGAAAAGCACAGTGAAATTCGATGTTTGCCAAACTTCTATACCATTGCACGTAGATAAATGCTACAGTATAAAGTATTCCCCCCCAAAAAAAAAATATTCAATAAATGTAATAAGTTTCACTTCAAACATGCTGTATCAATAGTTACACGGAAGCTTGTTTAGATATTTTACTTCAACACATGCTGTATCAATAGGTACACTGAAGCTTACTTAGATATTTTATATTTAATCGTGGGAAATAGCCAGCTGCAAGGCATAGTTGTGGCGTGAACGAGCCAGTGAGCACAGGGGTGAGAGAGGACAGGGCAGCGTGGCCCCTCCGGTGTCCTGGAGCCCAGGGGTCAGGAAGCCGCCAGCCGTACCAGTCTCCCACCGAGCTGCTGGGGGGCTCGAACCGCCGACGCTGCGCCTAGCGGCCAGGTGTTGAACCAGTTGCAGCGGGAAGGGTCCACAGCCGCGCGGTCTCCGTGCAGTTATTTCAGTCTGCCTCCGGGCTTTATGGAACACGGCTCGGCGCTGGGGTGCCGAATTCGTCGAGCTTCCCTCCATTGCTCCTTTGCTTTGGGTCGTTCTCAGTGGGGCCAACGCTGCTTTTTATCCTAATTGCAATTGTCACGCTAAGGCCCCGTGCGCTCCACCGCGAGGTGCCTGCTTTGTATTTTGTTTATGTGAAGTGTTTTTTAAGTGGTCCTCCAAGTGCAATAAGGATAGACAAATTACCATGTCAGTTTTCCTTAAAGCACTGCTCAGATTTCCAGGGATGAGCGTAGGTAAGTGATTCAAATTCTAACATCCCTCTATAAATCAATTACCATGGTAATTCTCGCTGGGAATAATTAACATTTGAATTCCTAGAATGTGACCTGACTATTAGGACTGTGCTGTTTCTGCCTTTTTTTCCCCGGTAGCAGAGAGTCCCAGGACTCTTGAGGGATGTTTTCCGAGTTGGGAAGATCTTCGGATGCTTTTCAGTTCAGCTAAAGGGTGTGCTTTCGTGTTGGGAGCATCCACTCCGTCTCATTTGCAACCATATTCAGTGGACAGATTAGGAAAGAGAGCGAAGTCCGGTAGAGCCTGGGGCGCGTTTCTGCAGCCCGCGGCCTGCGGAGGGGCTTCACAAAAGACAGGCAAAGCTCAGCTTCTACAAGCACCCCGTGCCTGGTCGATTGCACACTTTCCAGGCAGAATGATCTTTAAAAACGGCCATGTATCAAGATAATGCCCCATGGAAGGAAATGGAGACCATTACAAGGCAAGCTAAAACAGCTTAAAAACAGATCTTGTTTTATGTTTCCCTGATTAGAAATGCAGCGTAAGCAAGCCTTGCTAAAGTACTTAAAGCACTATCACATCGTCCACATCTCAGAAGCAGAATGGTGGAGTGAAAGGATCAAATCCCGGCATGGTCCTTTTGGCCTTCTGGCATCACCTGAAGCAACACTGGCAATGGAACTTTCCCTAAATGTGTCCCCTGGGGACCGTGTTAAAATAGAACAGATGTGGGGGCTTCAGTAGCTCTAATGACTTCACTGGTGGTTCCCAGTGGGATCTGTGTGTTAAATAAAAAAGATGGAAAATCAACTTACCAAGTTCACAAAACTAAAAATAAATGTATTTATTAAAAAAAAAAAAAACCTACCCATGATGACAGATATTTCTTCACTTTGACCTGATGTTTGTTGAAGAAACATGATGTCTGAGGTTCCCAGAGCCCAATGGGTCTGGGGGCTGCAGTCCCTGCCCATGTAAAAAAAACAAAAAACAAAAAAACCCTTGAACATTTAGGAAAACTTAAGAAGTGTTTATTCGAAATGCAGATGTCACCTGAGTTCACCTCCCAATTACCTGCATGCACCTGCCCCTCGCCACGCCACTTGCATTCAAAAATAATGGCAATAGAAGAATTCTTTAAAACTTGCTAACTTAGGTATGAAGCACTCTTTTCCTTTTTACAATATCAAATCCTCTTTAATACTTCGTGTTCTCCGTAGATCCTCCACTCGAGCCCTCCTTCCTTTCCTTACTCCCCAAACACCCAGTGTGAATAGATTTAAAACAATAGTTCCCATTCTATGTGAGACAGCCCCTCTAAGAAGGGAAAGAAGGGGGAAATTTCATAGGAGAATAAATTTTTCCATAACTGAATTAGGTACAATGAATCAACTCCTAAAACAAAGAATATAGGATTTGTATCTTGCTTCATCAGAAGACATTTCTTCTAAGTATATTATATGATAAATTGTAATCCTTGCTTAGTTTAGTGGACACTTGAACTTCTCCCACGATTGTATATGGTGGAGCAGTAGTCAGGCTGTAAAAGGCAAAACCCGCAGTTCAAAACCACCCCAGTGCTCTGCTGGAGCAAGGCGAGGGTTTCTACTCCTGTAAAGATGTGCAGTCTTGGAAACCCACAGGAGCAGTTCTTCGCTGTCCTATCCTGTCTCTATGAGTCAGACGCAACTGGGTGACAGTGGGTTCGGTTTTTATCCATACTACACAGCAATGTTTACGTTCCAGTCCTAAATCGGCCAGGGTACTCCCTATGGAGATGGGGCATTTGGCTTGGTCCAATGGTGTCAGAAACCTGCCAGTTATCTCTAGGAAAAGAAAGAATCCCTCTATATTACTCATCCTATAAAACTTTAATGATATTTTTGACATAGCAAAGCTGTCTCTAAAAGATTGCCATGGAATCAGAAATATATTTTTAAACAACAGTGCTATGTAATTGCTATCTACTTTATGTTGATTTTATATTTAAAATGTGCTGTAAATAATTGCTGTTGAATTATTACTTTTAATAATTGTAACTGAGAACCTATAAAAGTGGCAGCAATAATGGTATTGGAATTGAAATGTTACATTCTCATGATTGACTTAGACTTTTAAAATAATATTAAAACTCTCAAATTGTTAATATTTGTTATAGTCAAATATTAAAATTGAAGTAATTATTAATTTGGATTAATTTCAACAGTGAGGAACAAAACATCCCAAATTTACAGGGTTTAAATAAAACACAAGTTCCTCTTTCCTATAAAATATGAACCATATAAAATCCAGAAAGCAGCTCAGGGGATTTCAGATCCATAATCGGAATGAGCTCTTCTTACCCTTAGCAATGTTTTTCTCCTCGTGCCTCAAGGAGCCTGCCCCATCTCTCGCTGCTGCAGTCACAGTCCAGAGGGCCGGAAGAGGAAGATGGGCACACCCCATGCAGGAGACTTTGCTACAGTTTTATGACTAGAATGTAGTCATGAATCTATGACAGAATTAATATACGCATAGGTTTTCATTCTTTTTGCATCGTTTGATTATATATTTTCTAATGTTGAAGTATAATTTCCAGGAAAAAGTAGAATCATAACTTTCACACAGATGTCAAAATGAGCACATTAAAGATTTGATTGTACTCATATGAGGGCTCAGGCAGATGTTTCGCAGGTCCAAATGAGAAGTCAGATCAGCACAAACTGATAAGGAGTCAGTGCTATTGAGATGAATTACAAATGGAGACAATAATTTTTTTGTTTTGCTTTTTTGAAAAGGGAGATAGTCAATTAAATCACTACCAGACAGAATACACTTTCGTATGCACTGTTAATTAATCTATCCACTTTTACTTGCAAAGGGTTTTGAAATAGCTCAAAGATAATGAACAGGACCTAAATCTGATGAAACAGTAAGGCACACCACAGACGATGCAGTTTTCCATGGAAATACATTTGTTCTGTACTATTCATAAAATCTTTGCTAGGAACATGCACTTTTATCAACCTGTACTGAAATAGATACATTTCCCTCCAGTTGCTTTCGTTATAACACATGCAGAAAATGTATTATCATAACTTTGGCTACGGGATGGCTTAAAATAGAATGGCACAGAAGAGGATGTCAGTATTGCTCAGAGGTATGAGGCTGGCCTCTAAGCGGCAGTATGCTCCCGTCCATGTGATACCACAAGGATGATTTGACTACACCATGAAATGCCAGCAGGATCTGGGGAAGGGTACGAAACCCTACATAGTCTACAGAAAGAACAGACTTATTACATATCAAACATGAATGGAATATATATTTCTAAGATTCCATAAAGGTTTATATATAAGGGGGACTCCAAGAGTTTGTGGAAGAATTCCTTTATAGTTTAAGTTTATTTTTCCACAAACTTTTTGAAGGCCCCTGGTACATGGTAGCATATTAATGATGTACAAATATTTACTAAATATTTTCCAAGTCGCATAAGACAAATATTTCTCTTTATTCCCCAGTGAGGTGGCAGTTTCATATTTGTAAATCACTTTAAGAGAACGTGTTCTCCTCCTCCCTGGGGGAGGGACAGCAGAGAAGAGGGGTGGGGGCACGTCGGACAGGGTAACTTATGACAAAACTATAATAAGTTATGAATTATGAAGGGTTCATGGGGGAGGGGGAAGTAGGAGGGAGGGGAAATGAGCAACTGATATTAGGGCTGGAGTGGAAGGCAAATGTTTTGAGATTAATGAGGGCAACAAATGTACATATGTGCTTAACACAATGGAATGTATGTATGGATTGTGATAAGAATTGTACGAGCCCCCAATAAAATAATTTTTTTAAAAAGAAAACTTGTTCTTACACATATAGGTAAAAGGGATGATTTCCCTAATTTCACTTTGTTGAGTGCCTACATAGGAAGACACAGTTTCTACATGAAGGATTTAGTGAGACTGGTGACGTTCTGGCAGCTGTACAACCATTTGCACCTCTCTCATTAATACACTCATTATCCCATAAGGTCTCCCTCTCATCTTTCACATATGTCCTATAAACTTGATCCCGTGTGAACTGGTGTTAAAATAGCACAATGCTCAGGCAGCCGGGCTAACTTTAAGATGACTTCAGGGCATTTTGGGGGTAAAGAAGAAAGATTTTAATATTACTCCACGTAATTGAGCATACTTCTTTGATACAACACCCACATTTGACAAATGGTGGTTTACCAGTACTTTTTTTAATAGTACTCCATTAAATCAATTGGACTCTTTCACTTAAAATGAATTTTTAGTTACAACACTTGGAAGATGTTGGTTCACTAAGTACTGCATTATGCATTACTTCTGAATGTTGGCTTATGACATTATTCAATGAGTTCACACGTTAATGTCACCATCTATCTCACCTGAAGGGATGCTAGTGGCTGGAAGTGTTTCCCATAATCCTAATTTCCACGTAGTCATTTAATCTTGGCATGGCAACATACACTTCCAGGTGCTACGGACAGCTTAGGCCCTCTTCATCAGACCATGACAGTAGTGCAGAGCATTGTTTTGACATTAGAAGAAACAAAACAAAATAAAACCCACTGTTCTCACATCACTTCTGACTCACAGGGACAACATATGGCGATTCCAACATGGCAATATCAATGGGGACAGAAAACCTTATCTATCACCTGCAAAGCAACTGGTGGGTTGAACTTACCAAGCTTGTAGTTAGCAGCCCAATGCTAAGTCCACAGCACCACCAGGGCTCCTCACATTAGCAGAAGGATGGTTCAAACACAGTCATACTGAGTGCATCAATAAAATAAGGTGTTACTTTGTTTCCTACTTTGAAAATACAGTCCAGTACAATGTATGATAACCTGCAGTGCTACTTAGAAAGGTACTATTATATAAAGACTAGCAGATAATAGATTAAATATCAATTTTTTTAAATGGAAGAATATATTATTTAATAAAACATACTTTTGAAATCTATCAAAGACACCCTTGCATAAGTTTAATCATTTATCTGCACTATAGTTTATAGTACTAGTCCTGGCCACATATGGTTACTCATTGGGCTGGTAACTCAAGGTCAGCAGTTTGAAACCATCAGCCTATGAGATATGAGTTGCAGTCTCAGAACCTTACAGGGGCAGTTTTACCTCTTCTCAGGGCATCAAGTCTATGGCAGTGAGTTTGATTTGGGGGGTTTCTATTTGGGGGGTGGGGGTGGGGGGGAAGCAAGTAGTAGAGGGGCAGCAAAAGAGAAGAAGGTCCTGAATGAGATGTCTTGACCATGACTGCAACATTGGGCTCAAACACAGGAACAACTGTGAGCATGGTGCAGGACTGGGCAGGGTTCACTTCTGTTGGGCAGAGGGTTGCTCAGTGTTGGAACTTGGAGCTGATGGTACCTAACAACATAGTCTGTTGCTAGGTAGCATTCCTAGGTTTCTGGGAGCCCTGGTGGCATGGCAAGTTAAGCCTTAGGTTACTAACCACACGGTTAGTAGATAAGCATATATAAAAGAGAGTATAATACTAGACACAGAGTATGTGCTCAGTCAGGACCAATTCCTTCAGGATTTTAGGAAGCAGGGCTAGATCAATGGTTTCCTTTTTTCTTTTACTTTGTTACCTAAGAATAACCTAACTAAAACCCACTGCCATCAAGTTGATTTTGTCTCTGCCAGAAAACAAAACCAAGCTCACGGCCATCAAGTGATTCCAATTTAGAGCAACCCTACAGGTTGGGAGCCTTGGTGGTGCAGTGGTTATATGTTAGACTGTGGTCTGCAGGGTTGGCAGTTTGAAACCACAGCAGCTCCTTGGGAGAAAGACTGGGCTTTCTACTCCCATAAACAGTTACAGTCTCAGAAACCCACACAAGGGTCACTATGAGTCAGCATTGACTCGATGGCAGTGAGGTTTGTTTTTTGGTCTATAGAGCAGG